TCTGGAGATCCATATCTATGCGCACCAAATTCTGCTGACCACCTACAAACAAGGCATAGTTCATTTTTTATCCCTTCCTGTATGATAAAAGGAATAAGTACTTCTGACAAGATAAAAGGCTTGCAGAAGGACAAACACGTGCGTCAAGGATGTTAGTCTACTATATCGAAGGGCTAAACACAAAGAATAAGACTCTAGTAAACAATCCTTTCCAAAAGACTCAATAAAATCATGAGCCATGAAGAATTTGGACATCCTTATCAAAATGATGTCTCTGGACGAAAAGAAGCATGACTAGTGAGTCAAAGGGAATATCCCACAAGAACAGGAAAAAGTTGCTGCATCAAAAGTATAAATGAAAATTATGCAACCAGCTCCATTAATATCTAATTATAGACAGTGCTACTCCAGGATTCTGTAGTATTATGTTCAGTTCCTATTAATTTTATTCACATAACGACATATTAACTTCAATCCATCTCCCTTTGAATTTAGAGGTATATGTGTAAGAGTATCTCATTTTACATAGTCAAATACTGCTAGTATACAACTCCTTCAACAACTGAAACAGCCGTGTTTTCAAAGAAGAGCATAAAAATGGATAAGATCTGTGGATTGGCTGCAACAAAAGAAAGAGTATCTAACTTGATAGCTGCTTTCAGAAAGGAAGAACAGCCTTCTACACGTGTTTTTGCTGCGGCAATGGCTTCAGAAAGTTTTTGCAAGTCATCGTCATCTGCAAGGTCCAAATGTTGTGGCACAGAAAGCCGAGGAAACTTCTTGTAAATTTTCCTGACACGATCTAAGGAAAATTGATTATAAACCAACTCAACACTTAAAACCCCTTATTAAATTAGCAGCAACAACAACTACTATACCTCAGCCCAAACAAGTCGGGGTCGGCTATATGAATCTCAATTAATATTAGAAAACGGAAACCCAAAAAAAGGGAAAAAAATTACAACAAAAACAGAGGCATCATAGCTTGATTTAGCTTTCAAACTATGGCAACACAATCAAGTTATGATTTAATTGGCTACTTCAGTTTTAGAAGAGCTAGTATCTCTTCCTTGCCATTCTAAGGAAACAGTACTCTTCTTTCAGTTCTAATATCTAAAAGGCTATCATGTTTTATCACCAGAATCTATTTAGTTTGTTTTCTTCCTGATGTCTCATTGTATAAATTACACTTCTGAAATATGAATTTTCTACTTATGGACCTCTTTTGGATTTTTCTTTTTCTAATAAAGTAAAGCTTGCACTTAAAGGCATCCAGAGGATGCAAATCTATACAATGAATTGACTCTTGTGTAATACTTAGAGTCAACAAAATCCAAAAATTTGTTACATTGTTTACATCCAAAAACTTTTCCCAACTATGTACATTCAACAAAATTCTTGCTTTCGAAGCTGAAACAGAGGAGGCCTCTCCCTGAAAATACCTCTTGTTTCTTTCGCTCCATAGAGTCCAAAAAATTCAGCCGGGAATGGACTGCCACAGCGTTCTTTTGTCTGTCCGCACCTTTCACATGTACCAGCAGCTGAAGGGATCCCTTAAACCATTAGGAGTACCCATTGCAAGCCAAATAGATTTATGAACAAGTTCCAAAGTTCCTTAGCAACACTGCAAAGGAGAAATAGGAGTCTGACAGTTTTGCATTCTATATTTCTATCCATACATAAGTACCATCCGGAGCAGAAATTCTTTGGAATAATTTTTAGTTCAGTTCTACTTAGCTTTTGTGCCAAAATTTAGCAAAGTGAATAACTACTCTTTAGAGGCATCCTGGGTTTTGTCTAACATTATTTGATAAGTCGAAAAAATCATCTCATAATATGCAGCAAGATGATATGAAGGTTTATGGGTGTTTCACATTCAGCTTCTGAACAATCAATCAAACTGTCTATACAAAGTGGGAACATTCTCTGTACACCAGAATATAGTAACATAAGAAGAAGCTCTTGATCATCTATTTAAGTAAACATCATCCTTTTCCTCCAGATAATCCAAGAGAGACAAAAAGGAGCTCTTCGCAACCTTCCTTCTCTCTCTATCCTACTGATCTCCAGATCACAAAATTTACCTCCATATAGTTGGAGTACTCAAGTGACATTAAACAGTGAATATACCAAACTCAGAAGCCCGACCATAAATTCACAATGAAGAAGTAAATGATCCGCGTCTTTTCCATTCCTTTTACATATGCAATACCAATTGACCAGCACACATGACCATGGCATATTGGCATCCATATTTCCTTGCAATATCATCCATGAAGCTACTTCAGCGCTTGAAAACTCCACATCATTTTCGTAAGTAAGGATTGATTGAACATTGAATAATTGTAAGACTCCCAATTCACCCACATCTGTGAGAGACAACCATATTCTTCTATCCAATTAAGCAATATTTCCTTTTTCCTTCCTCACCTTTCCACAGAGAATCCTTCTTAAACTTCTCCAACCTCAAAGAATTTAAAGATGGATAAGATACAAACTTGTAATATGTCATGGTGGCAGATAAGGTAGATTTGAAAGACTAATAAGTACTCCACTTTCACCCATCCATCTACTCCTTCAATGCTCTTCCATTGCTTCCATGTCATATTGTCCACGTAAATTCTAAATGAGGAACTCCGTGCACTCCTCTTTGAATCTTCCTCTTATGAATTTCCACTTCAGCAACAGATCACAAAGAGCTCCTGGCATCACCCATTCGCCAATTCAATTTCGAACATATTCTACACCATAGACCATATAGTCTATATGGCAATGAAGCAGTAGATGTTATATGCTGAAAATTAAGAGAATTAATGCAGTTATATGTTAGGATGTTCTGTATGAAGTTGTCTGTTAAATGTTCTAGATTAATTCTATGTACTTAGGTTACAGCAATAACAACTACTACTACTAATACTATGCCTTAGTCTCAAAATAGAAGGGTGCAGCTATATGAATCCTCACTATCCATTTTGCTCAATTTGAACTGATTTTATTCCAATGTTCAATAGTTCAGGTTCTCTAACATTAGAAATTTTCTACATTTTTCTACTGGGACAAAAAAAAAAAAATTCTCCTAGTATTGGACCAAAAATGAACATGCCAACTTGACTAAACCTTAATCCCAACTAATTGGTATTGCCGATATGGATCTTTTTCTTTCATTTTGTTCTATTTTTCTTCCGTTGTATAATGACAAAATTAGGAGAAAAAGATTGTGACAATACAAACATAAATGCATAATACAGGAAAATTAACCGTAACATTTAGAAAAGTCTAACCTAGAGTGTCTTCGTCATATGAAACTTTTGCTTTTGCAAGTGTTTCAGCAAACAGCAAAGAAAGCTCTGCCCCACAGGTAATCTGCAAAAAGTCAAGAAGGGTAGAAGAATCCTGATTAGGTTAAATTATTCGAGAAGTGGTTGTGGTCAAAATTAAATGGTACAAGTAGAAGAGAACACAAATATAACCTGGGCCTTGTCTAATTGCAAACAAGCACCAGACTGAAGAACATTCAAGGCGTCAGAGTATCTCTCAGCAGACACATATCTGAGAACAAATATAGTGCGGGGGAGGATATTATTAACAAAATACAGGGAGTTCAATCATATATATATAAAAAATCTCGTACCAACCTGGCACTAGTGGACTTATACATCTGTTGAGCTCCATAGTAATTTCCCTCTTTGATAACCTTCTCCAACTTATCGATATTCTGCAATTACCAGTTATTAAAATTACTAAGGAAAAATAAGTGCAGTGGTGGCAGTGACATTGTAATGTACCTACCTCCTGAGCTGGGGGCAGTATCACTCGCCTGACTCTCTCTCGGAACATGCTTGCATCACTTGTGTGGATCTACAATTGTTGGATGTTTGGAGTAGACGTATTTCTCATTTCTCATTTCCCAATTCCCAAACAAAAAGCCGCAAAAGTGGCAACTTCCTCATGTTGTTGGATGGAGGGATTGGTATGTGCTTTTACCACTTCAATTTAAGTTTGAACACCATATTATGGAGAACCTTTTTTTCCCAATTATTGGAGAATGAGAATTTTTTATTTTTACCATAAACTTAATGCTTATCCATATACTAGAGCTCGGTTTAGGCATCGAGCCAAGCCCGAATCGAGTCCGGAGGAGGTTACAACAATATCGTTAAACGAGCTTATTATAGTATCGAGCTGAGCCGAAGCTAAAACGAGTTCAATCGAGCTTTATTAAAATATTATCTAGCTAGAGCCGAGCCTGAGTCAACTCATTATTGTTGTTCCATGTATAATGCTACACCATTAGAAAATATTAAATTCATAACAAAATTAGTAAATTAAATCATAACAAAATTGGTGGTTGATTAAAGATAACATAAGCATTGCTAGTTTAAACTGGTATTTAAATTAGAATTCAAACTCAAATGAGGTTAATTCAATATTGAACATCAAATAGAAATTTCAAGCTTAATAATAATAATAATAATAATAATAATAATAATAATAATAATAATAATAATTCAAAGTTTGTATAATTTAAAAAAATTCTTTAATTTTTGAATTCTTAAATTTAATTTTTTTAATTATATTTCATATCGCCTAAGTAGTCTTAAATAACCATGTGTATTAAAAATTTAATTACCTCGAATTAATTAAGAAGTACAAGATTACAACTTTCGTAATTATTTGTTACTAAATTAGAATATTACTAATTTACTTAAATTAGGTCTAATGATGAATTTTAGTTTTAAAGTAATTGTTACACGACTAAAGTGAGTCATTGAGCTGAGCCGGCTTAACCGAGCCCGAATTTTGACTGAGTCAAGCCAAACCAAACTTTAATGCAAATCGAGTTGAGTCGAGTTGAGTCAAACTTTGATTATAATCGAACTGAATCAATTAGAATCGAAATAAAATACCCTCAACTCAACTCTTTGTGTGGGCCTTAGTAGAGCATAGTAATGAGAAAAAATAGATAAAATGATACAAATACCTATCAGACCTAAACTTATTAATCGTTTTTGTGCAATCGAAACTTAATTTCTGCCTATTCTGCCCAAATATATTACCCAGCCCACCAATTCCCTTTGCTCATTTAATTTATCTGAAAGACGCATTTTTGAGACCCAAATGTTCTTCCTCTTTGAAAACCACATAGCTTTGTCTTCTTCATGAACAATGAAATCCAATATACTCATGTATTTTACGTCGCTTTTTTTAGAGTTCTCTACATAAATTTTAGATTAGAAGTTTTTACATTATTTTACATCAGTAAATGTCCAAAATTCTATTTATGTATTAATACAATTCAAAACCCTCTTTTCATAACAATTTTTTTTCCTTCAAAATTCTCAAATTTTTTGTGGAATTTATTAACCATTTTTGTCGTGGTTATATTTTAGTATGGGTAGAAAACATGCTGTAAGAAGTGATGGAGGGGTCATCATCCATATAACCTCATTGTTGTAGATAATTCTCCTTCACACCGAGGAGTTGCTGAATCAATTGCATCTTTTATGTCATGACCTAACTTTTTTTGTTTGATGATTCTCAATCAGTAGGTAGTCTGTAGGTATGGATTTTCAGTTAGAGGGAACCCCTTTGAATAAGTGTCTATGTTAGATTTTGAACCTATTATAGCGGGCGATGAAAAATGAATAATAAGAGAAAGCTAAAACCATTGATGATTCTCCATTAGAGGGGACTCCTCACGAATCAGTGCCTCAAATAGATTCTGAACCAGTTATAGCGAGCTTTGCAAATATGAAGGACAATAGAAAAGCCAAAATCATTGATGATTCTGCATTAGAGCGATCTCCCTATAAATCAGTGCCTGAAATAAATTCTAAACCAGTTGTAGTGGACGACGATGAAGATCATATTGATGGCTCCCCCGAGAAGAGGAAGAGAAAAGTTGGTATTGATGTTGTAGCACCCATTGTGATTTTTAATTATCGGGTGCACTATTTTGATGTTTCTTGTATGCATATGTGTTATATAACAGTAGTATATTCATATGTAGTTGCGGGAATGACCTATTAAAATTATATATTTTGTTGGTATACTTATATATTATATTGGTATCATATAGCATTGGGGTACCTTTTTTGTTGTTTAACTGCATTATATTTTCAAATACTTTAGTATATGAACAAATTTTCACTTTGCACTTTTTCTTTTTTACGCATTTGTGTTATATAATAATAGTATAATCATATATAGTTATAAGATTGACCAGTACTATATACCACATTGGTATACTTATATACCATATTGGTATCATATGGTACTGAGGAACCTTTTTTGATGTTTAACTGCATTTAATTGGATTCTATTTTTGAAATTCTTTAGTCTATGAGCATGTTTTTACTTTTCACTTTTATTTTTTTATGTATTAATGTTATATAATAATAGTATAGTCATATACAGTTGTCGGAGTGATCCACTATAACTATATACCCTATTGGTATACTTATATATCATATAGGTATCATATGGTGATGAAGAAACTTTTTTGTTGTTTAACTTTATTTAATTGAATTTAAGTTTTAAATACTTTAGTATATGAATATGTTTTACAATATTGAAATTTACTTTTATCAATGGACATATATTACAAATCAAAGATAGATTGGGATACCAGCCGTAACATCATTCTTCAGTTGAAGGATAAGTTATCAAAGAACCACCTTGGCATGTTTAGGAAAATATGATTTGGTTACTTTTTGAATCTTCCATTAGTCATTGTCCAGATCCGAGTTATTCACCATTTACTAATAAGAAAAGCATGTCATGAGGTGAAAGATGAAATGAGATTTTTAGTGAGAGGTTCTAGGTTGTATTTTGGTTTGGGTAAATTTGTAATTATTACTAAGTCGAAATATCAGGATGATACAAATATAGAAAATCTATCAAAGAATAGGTTAATGGAAAAGTGTTTTTGGGAGACCATCTGTGACATGGAGCCAATTAAAAGACTGTTTTATGAAGAAAAATAATCTGACGATGACACAGTATCTTTTACTTTGTGAATATATTTTTATTTTTTATTGTCAAAACAATAATTATAGTATGATCTTACATTGCCATATATTTTTATTTTATGTTCAAAACAAGAATTATTGCACGATCTTATATTGTCTTGTGTTGCTCCCAAATACATACGCAAGTATACATGATCAACAAGTAATATAATAATGGGTAGAGTATCGAACCCACAGAGACTTGTATTAACTACCTACTAATTTCAACTCAAATTGTACTCAGTCAAGTCGATCAAGGTTGAGTTTTTATTATTAATAACTAAGCAGCAAAATTTAACAATTAACTAAATTAGCAAGAAAAAAGTTGGTTGTGTTGTAAATTCAGTAGAGATAAATATTTCGGGTTGTGATCGATTCACCAATCATATTGTGTTTTAGCTAACCCCCCCTTTTCATGAAATTCGCTTATGATTGTTAATTAATCGAGTAAACTATACTCATAGTATTCTCCCAAATGACTATGCGCCTGTCCAAAATAGATAAACGAATATATTCCTATGAAATAAATCTACCAAGAACATATTAAGATCACGATATTCAATTAAGTATGGTGATTAGGTATACTCCTATCCTAACCACAAATCCGCCCCTACTTTAGAGTTTCTCTAATCTAAACGTAACTTTCCCAAGCATAATCGAGATAGTTGATAGCACTTATCAGTTGGCCAGACAATCAAGCAATTAAACACAGAATTAAAAAAATAACCATATAATAGCGAATTATATGAAGAAGAAGTTAATGTCAAACAACAATATTCATAACTAAACCACAACCCCAGAACTAATGGGTCTTAGCCACTCATGATAAAGTGGTTGAATGCTTGAAGATACTAAGAAGAATGAAGAAAAATCGTGAATCCTTGCTCTCGAGTGTTCCGTGATTGTATTCTGCTCTCAAAGTGGCGTCTCTCCCTCCAAATTAGGTTTCTAAATCCTTTTATACGAGTTGAGAACGTGTAGGGCCGTCAAAAATAAGTCCCGAGCGAAATAGGAGAAGTCCTACCTCAGCATCTAGGGCAGCGCGCTGGGCTGAAAGCCGAAATAATCCGCGTCTGACTTCTGCGTCCCAGGCAGCACGACGCGCTGGCTTGGACACTAGCCTGAGAATCTTTTCTCCAACTCGTGCCCTTCCGTTCTACATCGCTTCCGGGAGACTCCTACACATAAGAACGCCATAAATTAGCTCAAATAATCACAATACACATGCAAATACATGAACCCCGAGTAAAATATGAGGCGATATGCATATAAATATACATACTTTAAGCTAAATATCAACACCCCACACTTAGACTCTTGCTCACCCTCGAGTAATGTAACTCCTTATGACACCCCAACAACTTCACACATCAATTATGGAGGAGCAAATCACCTTTAATCATACACTCTACCCTTGACTATGATTGATACTAGCAATTAAGTATCGGCATACGAAATTCACATCCTTCCCATCCTCAACATGCCAAAGTATAAGCATCCTCATTCAAAGAATTCAAACAACCTACCCATAACCACCTCACCTCAAAGGCCGACGCGTTACCACTAAGCATCCTCAACTGGCGTACTCACCCAACAAAAGAAGTTAATAACATTACCTATCCGTCATGAGACCGTGTGACCTCGCCAATAAATAAGAGAGTGAATATAAAGATAGTCCACACATTCAAGTTGACTTTGAACATAAATTAAGGACATCACACAATTGAACAAAAATCACTCTCTCGCAAAGAAATTCCTGTGTACCCATAGTTATACCATAGGCTTTCCCGTAGTGTATATCTCTATTAATCTAAGCTAGCCAAGTCTAGGATCAATTATGTCTTTCCGGGTTGTACTATAAGCTAAGGTACGAGCAGGATAAGTTTGAATATTAGTGACTAATCTTCCTAAGCAATTTAATACACTACACTCAACTTTTAAACACATATTCTTCTCAACCAATTCAACACCTTGCCACAAAACCATACACAACTTAGCCCTTTTTCGTTTAAGCACTTCTATATCTCCAGTAGCACGAATTAAGAATATCAGGAGGTGTGTTTT